CATATCTATAGTCATAATTTTAGAGAATTTTTTTCCAGTCTTTTATCAGAAGGGAAGTGAAAATTATGAGTTGCTTTGCAAATTGCTCATTCATTAATTTATGATGGAAGGAACAAACCACTGAATCTTCTGCCCCCCTTACATAGCATGTGCAAAGGACAGTGAAAGTCAGAACTGCTAAGCAATAAGCAATCACAAATAGAAAAGCTTCATTTACTGGAGCTGTTACAATCTGGGGAAATGGCAGTGCAAATGCACCCCAGCTCTGCACTCCTCTAAAAGTTAGCACTTCTGTCTGACACATCAAAGTCACCATGGAGAAATAACACCTACACAGCCCACCAACACCAAAGGAATATCTTGTCATTGGTTGTAATCAGGGAGAGGCTCCCAGAAATCCACACTCATCACTAGTTTATTTCTGAACTCAGAAGTGTAACCCCTTCAGCTGGACAGGGGATGAAATCAGACATCAAAAGCATTATCCTGGGAGAAAGCACAGCTGTATTTTGTGCTGCAGTGTATTTAATTTACATGCCATTTTTCCTAACACCATCACTGTTGAGGAGCCCTTCATTAGCTGAGGAGGCCAGCATTGTTGGGCAGCAACCATTCTTTTACATTTCCATACATGATGGTTGTACCTTCAGTTTACAGTTACTGCAACTAAACTGTGGAGACAGCTTACCAAAATGCCTTATAACCCTAATTAAATCATATTGCAGAATTTTATGAAAAATGAGGAGCTTATTTATGAGGAAAACAATCTTTCTGTGACTGATCTGAGGCTAAACAGCTAATACAACAGTTGGGGAGACCAGATTGTGATTAGTAGAAAGGGTAAAAGACTTGGAGAAAGACTTATGGAAAACCCATAATTAGCCCTTGACAGAAGTATCCAAATTTCCCAAGAAAGGAAATTGCTCAGGCTGGAATGAAACTCATGGGTCAGAAGCAAATCACATTGAGTGAGTCACAGAGAAAAGTGGACAGCTAAATCTACTAATAAGCTACTTTCCAGAAAGCAAATAGGATTGTTTCCACAGGATGGCCTGGCCAGAGTAGCCTCAGCTTCCTAAGTCTTCAGCTTTCTGTACTAAGCGATGATCCTGAAGGTGCTTCATGGAACTATTCCAAGGCCATTGGTAGGTCAGCAAAGTATTTTTGAAATGTTATTTAAAATGCAAGTTTAATACCATCACTAATGCTTACTAGAAAAAGAGAACAGAGGATTTTGTTCCTGGCACAAAGACAGGTACAAGTTTCTGGGAACAAGTTTGTAGGCTTTTTTAGAGAGTGAGGACAAGGTAGAGCTCCCATACTTTCAAATTCCCTGACCCTGAGTGACAAGTAACACAAAAGCTAGTGTTTACCACCCTGTTCCAAACAAAAACAAATTCTGAAGCAAAACTGATCTGCCACTTACCAGAACAGGATTATGGGCCAATTTGTAATCATCCTTGCTGATGTGTATAGCAGGGGGCTGAAAATCAGGTTACTAAAGGCCTTGTAAAAGTTTGGGAATAAGCCCTTAAATATGATTTTTTTCTATCACAGGTAGAATGGAATGATCTAACACATCATCACCCTATTCATAATAAAATAAACGTAATTTCTTTCCATCCGGGTCATGTTTTCCACCCTAAATCATCAATTATGCTACTTTACAAGGCTTTCTCATCCGCAAGAGAATGACCTGTGGTCATTTTACAGCTTTTGTTATTTATATGGGGCTTCTAAGAGATAGCAGAGTCATTGAAGAATTCAAAGGATGACAAAAAGCTACAGCTAACTTCAAGGATAACAAAATGTGTATTTTCATCCTGATACTTGTTAACAGATACCACTGCAAAAAGCATATGACAATCAAAATTCCTACCCCTTAAACACACTACTGAGGATCTGAGGACGTTTTTAAATGCACTTGCATATGCCATATGATGAAATTAGCACAGAGCACAAAGAAGTGTCTAGCCGTGTGCTACAGAAAGTCAAATCAGATTCTGCCCTCATTTATTCCCACGTAATCTTCCTAAAGAGAATCAAATAGCCTTGATGCAAACAGAGTATGAACTTGCATAAGAGGAAAGCTTATAGCATGGCAAAAGCAATTACTCAAAGCTGAAAAATGAAATATTGCTTGAAGTTCTGAAGCTTTCTAGCAGAACAGGGAAAGATATTTAGGTCTTTTGTTATACCAACATTAGGATCAAATAGTCACTTACTTGAAAAGCACCTCATTGCACAGTTACCCTCTGCAAATATCTGTTATTTTCATTATTTGGTAGTTATAGAAGTATCTATCATCAACAGAGTTGGTTAGCATCACCATTTGTAAATTAAGATACCCAAAGTTTAAATAAATTGATTTGAGTAAATTTCTTACATTTTTCCATACAATTTCACTGCTGCCTTAAGACCAACAGGTAATGGTTCATAGTTAAGGTAACTTGGTATTTCCATGACTCAAGGCATCAATAGCCACAATCAGCCATTTAAAAATAAAATTTGCTAATTGCTTTATTAAAAGACAAATTGAGTATACTGCTGTCAGTATCAATTCTTTTTTCCCTAATGAAATGTATAATTTTAGCTCTGAATGACTGTTGGAAA